TTCTTTCTATCTTGTTCTAAGTGGAGTTACTTCTTGTATGTAATCAAGGGGAAGCAGGTACTGGGATTATGCTTTAGATGAAGCATTTTCCCATTTATGGCTGCCTCCTTGTTAGCCTGGTGTAGTGGTTGGTCCATGGGTGTCCAACTCATCCAAAGAGATCTTCATTCCAGGCAGTAGAAGCCAGGAAGCAGCAGAAATAGTGCAGAAGGGCAAGCGGACACATGCCTGTGTGCGTGTCCAGGGGAGGAGCCCCGACGTTGACACGAGGGGCTGTTGTGTCTCCAGTGAGGCCTCTACATGGCCCGCTTGTCCTGCTCCTGGGATCCTGCTTTCCTGGGGATCCTTATAGCACTCTCGCCCTGCCCTCTCCCCGCATACCTGTGCCCCCAAAATCCGCAGAGCTGAGTCACTAAACCCTGCTCCCCAGTGGGGAAGAAGGAGGCCTAGGTGGTGAGACCTGGGCTCGGCGCCCTCACATGGCAGGACAAGCTCCAGCAAGTTTCTTAGCCTATTGGAGCCTATTTCTCTATTTGTGAAACCAGAGGGTTGAGCCAGAGCAGTGGTTCTTAAACTTGAGTATGAAGCAGACCAGAGAAATTATTGAAATTAGGCTGCTGGGCCCCACCCCCGAATTTTTTCTGATTTAGTAGGTGGAGGGGAAAGGCTGAATACTGTGCATCTCTAACAGGTTCCCAGGTAGTACAGGTGCCACTGGCCCACACTTTGCGAACCACTGGGCTAGATCAATTGCATGCCAACTCTAATTGATTGGTAGTGGCTGCCTAAAGCTGGCTTGAGGCTGGGAGAGATTAGCAACATCTGCCGTAGGCACAGTCTCATGGTCAAAGTGTCACATCTTTGCCCTCTCTAGGCTAATGGTCTGTAAGGTCTACTTGGAGCATTAAAAAAAGATAATGACACTAACAGTCAGCTGTCTGAAAAGGGAGTTTTATCACCTGGGGCCAGACCTGGGACTTACCTTCATGGGGTCTGGGTGGCACCAGATCCTGATGAGACTGTGGTTCCTCAGGGACTCGTCGCCCATGGCAATGTTGGTAATCACAGACTTGTCCAGCTGTGCGCAAGATGTGGGCAGGGGGAGTGAGTGTGGGGCCCTCACTGTGCCCAGCCTCCACCCGGCCAGCCCTGCCCCCACCTGGATGATGAGCTTCGTGAAGGGCTCCGTGATGATCTTAAGCAGCTCAGGGGCGTCTTGGCCGCCGCGGATGTTGAAGGAGGCCACCACCAGTCGAGTGACATGGTACAGGTACCCAGAGGCAACCTCCAAGGGCAGCAGGACCAGAACTGACAGCCAGTTAAAGCAGTCGTGCACAGTGGCCCCCGCGAAGGCCCTGGGCAGGGAGGCCACGTTGCAAGGTAGGCCGGAGCCTGGATTTGCTCATTCTGGGGCTCCTGGCATCTGGGACGACCCTCCCCCCACAAACACAGACCCGTCACCACTCTACCCCCTCACCTACGGAAGTCGGTCCTGTCCCCCGCCTGCATCAGGGCCACAATGGTGTTGGTGACAGAGGTGCCAATGTTGGAGCCCATGATGATGGGGATGGCAGAGCTCACCTCCAGCACTGGGAGAAGAAAGGGCCCCTTAACTAAATGGGTAGTGTCCACCCAGTTCCTGTCCCCACAGCACCTCCTGCCAGACCCACTACCCATGTTCTGGCCACTAGTGGGCATTTCTGCCATGCTGCTAACTCCGCCCAGCCTCGGTGTCACAGGTACATGTGCTGTATATTACATATATGTAACACATGTAAATATACACTGCACGTGCCCATATGTGAACATGTGTGGGGGCATGTGTATGTGAGGGCATGTGTCCTGTATGCAAATATGTATATGCCATTACAAATCAACTAGGCTTGGCATGTATGCATGAGTGTGACAGTCAGTTTCATGTGTCAGTTTGGCGAGGCTATGGTACCCAATTATTCAATCCAACATTAATCTAAACATTGCTGTGAAGGGGTTTTGCAGATTCACCTCTACAATCAGTTGACCTTATGCAAGGAGATAAACCTCAATAATCTGGGTGGCCCTCATCCAATGAGATAAAAGGCTTCGGAGCACAACGGAGGCGCCCCTGCGGAGGAAGAAATTCCACCACTGCACGAGCATGGCTCCCGGCCGAGCTCCAGCCTGCCCTTCCCAGCGGCCTGCAACCACCTCCCTGCAGTAAACCGTGTGTGTGTCTCCCACAGCTTCCCTGCTCTCATCGCTCTGCTTCTGTTTCCCACGGATGGGATGAAGAGCTGCGTGATGTTCTGGAGGTGAGCCTTCCTGGGGTTATGCCCCCCATTTGCTACCTTTCAGGCTCCTGGGCACCCCTCCAGACGGAGACTCCTGGCTAGGCCTTGGAGCATAGAGTGGGAGCTGCCAGGGCTCTGCCCTTAGCCCTCAATCCCCTGTTCCCACTCCTGGCCCCTCCCCAGCCCTTGTGCAGCACACCCAGCTCCCCACACTCTCCCCCTGGCCCTAGCGGGTCGACTCACAGCCAGAGGAGACCATGCTGACGATGATGGAGGTGGAGGTGCTGGAGCTCTGCACCAGCACGGTCACCAGGATGCCCACCACCAGCCCCGCCACCGGATTGGACAGGATGGCATTGTCCTTGAAGATGTCACCAGCCACCTTCCCTGGGGAGCATGAGTCACCATTGCTTGAGGCCCTTCAGGGGCCTTTCCCCAGGCCCCTCCCCTAACCCTACCTCCAGCCAGCTGGAAGGCTGAGCTGAGCACGTCCAGGGAGCAGACAAAGAGGTAGAGGAACGTGAGCATCAGTGGCACCTTGAGGAGTGTCACGCCAGCCTGGCGCAGCTTCTGGGCCAGTCCGGGCTCTGGGGATGGGACAACCATGAGCACAGCGGCCAGAGGGCTGGGGCAGTAACTGCTGGTGTCCCTGCCACCCCACTCAGCCCACCTGGCTTCTGCTCCTCCTCCAGGGCCAGCTTGGCAGGCAGCGGGTCATGGAGCTCCAGAACCTCCCCAAAGGGGCAGCTGTGCTCGGCGAGGGCCACGGGGCCCAGGCTGGGGAAGGCATAGGCGGAGGTCCCTGGGATCCTGTGCAGGACTGGGAAGGGAGGCTGGTCAGGAGTTCCCAGAGGCCCCGGGTCCGTGGGAGGGCAGGAGAGGTGGAGTGGAGGGGTGGAGGTCTCACCCAGGATGTGGGCAACCGTGGGCAAGCAGGGTCTGGGAGTGGGGGCACACTCACCCTGAGGGCTGGGCACATAGGCAAAGGCCGCCCCATGCATCACGTGCCCCCTGCGGACTGGGATTGGAGAGACAGCAGGGCCCCCCAGCCTCTCTCCGTAGGACATCATCCTGGGCACACGCAGTGGTGTCTGCAACAACATTGAATGACAACTGCTGTGTCCTGGACACTCACACACGCACACATCTACCTCCCACACCCACACACTCACTTGCACAGACATTCATGAAGTGTGATCCCACACACCCACAGAAATGCTCTCCCCTACCCCCCTACCCCTATACCCAGGGAAGCACACTCAGGTGCTCAGCAAAGATTCGGGCATTCATTCATTCATTCATTCAGCAAGTATTTATTGAGCATCTATTCTATCCTAGATGCTGGGGTACAGTGGTGACTGGATACAGACACAATGTCTGCCCCTAGGAAATTCAAAGGGTGGTGGGGAGACATTTGTCAATGAAATAATCCCTCAACTAGATAGAAAATGGCGATGGGAACCAGTGTTCTAATGACAGGTATGGGTGCCACCAGAGTCTCACGGTGGGGTGGGCCTTGGAGGAGGGAAGAGGGATCACACGGAGAGGAACCGTCAGTAGGCACTACCAGGAGGAGAAGGGGACCGCGCGTGTGCAAGGGCCATGTGCGGGGAGAAGCTGCGGACACCCTGCAGCTGGAGGGGCCAGGGAACGTGTGCAGAGGCCGCAGGTGTGGGCCGGGGCCGGGCATGGGCTGCGCAGCTGTTTTGCTCGTCCTGAGAGCAGTGAGGAACCATGGACACCTGTTCCGGATCGCGGGACCAGCTGGGCAAGCACTCGGGAGGGCTCACTGGCCTCGGCAGACCACCCCTCTCCTACTCCTCACCCCTCAACAAGAAACAAACCTGCCACCTTGCTCCCATGAAAGAGGCTCAGACCAGGACTGGTTTAGGTAAGGAGGGCCCCCACCCTGTTCCCAAGTCTGGGAAGTCCTGGCTTGTTTTAGGTCCCGCGCCCCCGCTCCCCGCCCCAAACTGCCCCTGGAGTTCTTGGCTGTTGGGGTGGGAGTGCCCCAGGCTGCCTCAGCAACACCTCCTCACTCCCACCCCTAACATTTTCT